GGTTCCTCTTCCACAAGACGTCGAAGACTTCCTCAAGCTTTGTCGAAAAATAGTCGATCGTTTAAGAGCAGACATTCGCAAGCACGCTTAGAAGATTGTTTTCCTTTCTTTATTTTTCAGCAAGTATATTGTTTTAAAGTCGTAATATCTTTCAAAATCTGAAATATATTCTCTTTTAAAGACAATTGTTACTTTCAATAAAAGTATTGAATTTCGTATTTCGTCTGTGTATTTATTTTCTAGATACTTACCAATAAAAAAGCAAAACCTAAAAGAAATATATATATATATATATATATATATATATATATATATATATATATATATATATATATATATATATATATATATATATATATATATATATATATATCCGAGTGAATAAGACGTTCAAAACGAAATTTTTAGCATGTACATAAATATTCATTCATTCATGAACATCTACATTTTTTAAATTCATAACGCAAAAACTCCTTTTTTAAAATCCTCCCCAGTTGAACCATTGGTAGAAGAAAATTAACACCTCTCTGGCCCCCATATCAGATAAGAGCCCATCTATAAAAATCAATAAAACAAATTAAGGAGAATTAAGCTCCATTCAAAGAAGATCTCGAGCAAGTCAAGGGAAATGTCAACTCAATGAGAGGAGACATGAGTCAAGTTCTTCTAGCCTTGAAGAACATCATTGACAGACAAGATCAAATTCCTAGGATAGCCTTGGCAGAAGTAGCCCAAACCATTGGTGCATCTAGTGGTCACCAACCAAGAAAAGAGTCAGAAACAGGACCCCAAAAGTCTATCATAACCCAACAAGAGACAAAACAAGTTATGACTCAAGGATTTGTCCCACCTCCACCGAAGGTAGGGCATCCCATACCCTGCAAATTCCGATCAACACTCATAAATATGATGGCTTGTGAGTGTTTGGAAAACACTCATAAATATTTAATATACTTTCATTATGTAAATTAATTTATTAATTTTATAAAACTCTATAAACATTGAATATAATTTATTTTTAGAAGACCCCTACGTAAATCTCAATCTACAGTAATAAATTAAAGATAAATCTATAAAAATAATCAATCATGTTACACATAAAAACCAAAATATTTATCAGTTTATTAAAACAGAATCAAATTGAGTTTGATGGACACATAATCATTTTGTAAATCATTAAATTAAATATGTTCCACATCATCAAAATCTAATGTGTCATGCTTTACCATTTTTTCCTTTTTTTTTCTAATAACCACTTTTCTTTTATTCCATAGATTAATCGACTTCTATTCATTTTATTTAACCTCTCAATGCAAATGTTTTTACAGTTATGTTAACAAATAAAGTCCAATTATTTCCTATTACTAAATTATCTTCTTAAACTAATATGAATGCATAAAATTGTTTGTCGATACTAATTTATTCTCCTTTACCGTTATTAAACTCTTTATGCCCTATATTTTCAAATGTAATTGTTTATAAAACTAGCTTCTCCCTTTGCTTCTGTTTTTAAATTTTTTTTTTTGTGAGTTACGGAAATTTCTTAGTTTCAAATTTTTTTGCTTGTCAATCAAATTATTTACTTTTTACTAGGACATACATGAAATAAAATTTTGCAGAATGTGAATTTAATAGGATTAAACTTATTATTTAATTTTTAACCGACCAAATTCATGAGTTTATAATAAAGAGTTTATTTTCACCTTACTAATTAATTAATTATGGCATTAAATTGTTCCAAGTCTAGCATTAAATAGTTTCAAATCTCTCTCGATAAACGTTGAACTAACTTATATTTGACACCAGTAAATGATTGATTATAGATAATACATTGTTAATAATATATAAATCTCGAATCCAACTATCATTCATTAAAACAAATTTAAACAACTTCACACGGTAAGTAAAAATTATTTAAAATGTTACTCTTTTTTTTAGACAATTTATATATAAATTGTTAACTTAATTAGTGAAAAAGCCAACATTTAAGCTTTTCTATTATTAGTCTTAGATGGCATATATTTAATTTGTTAAAAATTGATTTGAAAAATTCTAACTTAGACATATAAATGTCTAATAAACAATATTAAAATGTGTAACACAAACATATTAAGTTTTTTTAAATATATTTTTGCAAAAACAACATCCACAGTATACATATCTAAAATGTATGAAATTTACAAATAATTACTTATTTACGTCATAAATAAATACTCTAACCGAAATGATCACTTATTATCATTATCAACATTGGCTTAAATTTTAGTTATAAGAACATTATTTGAATTTGGCTTATTACAAATATAATTTAAATATGATAGAATTAAAATATAACACACTCTTAATTAATGAAAAAATAATAATATAAAAATAGACATTGAACATAAATTAAAATATATTGAACAATAATATATTTAGAATTTTTTTAATTAATTAAAAATCAAACTATAAAAAATAGAAATTAAACATAAATAAAAAATTTATATTAAATAATGGTACATTCAGGATTTGAAAAAAATGAAAAAATTAATACATAGCGCGGATGATATTCTAGTTAATAAATAATTTTGACTAGTGTTCAGTTTTTTTACATTGTCTTTATAACACACAATCTCATACTTTAATATCTATTGTCTTTTACAACTACAATCCCTCATAAAGAAAAGTAGAATGAAAAGATGCAGGTGAAAAATTTGCAAGATTATACCAATGCATCCCGACCATTGATTTGTTCAAGTAATTAGTCCAATAAGTTCAATTGAAAAAATTGACGCTCAGCACAGATTTGTGACAATAAAGCTTACAAAATTTATCTTATTGATATATTTTGACTTAAAATATTTGATAACATTGAATTTCTTCTACACCATGAGAGATATGTTGTCTGGTATGTGAAATTTGATGCACATAAATATGTTTGAAGATCTAGACTATATATATATATATATATATATATATATATATATATATATATATATATATATATATATATATATATATATATATATATATATATATATATATATATATATATATATATATATATATATATATATATATATATATATATATATATATATATATATATATATATATCATTTTTAGGTAATTTTGTATGCTTGTGAGTAGTGCTATTTATTGTGATATTTTTGTTTGTATTTGATTGATGATAAGTGTATTCATATTTATATTATACTTATTTCTTACTATTAACATAATCAAAATATATTTCATAAATTCTTCTTCTTTGAATAAATTATCATGATATGTTTTTTCTTCAAATTTATTATGATTTGGTGGTTAATTTAAAATATTATTTTATTTAATTTTTTTTAATTCCTATATAATAATAATAATAAAAATAATAATAATATTTTAATGTGAGTGGTTTGAAGAATAATATTTTATATATAAAAAAAAATATAAAACAAATTAATATATGCATTAGTGATTTGATTTAGAGTATAAAAAAATTAGTCAATTTAAAAGTGTTAATTTGAATTTGGCTTAAAATAACGCAAACAAAAATACTAAACAAACTCTAAAAAGACAATAATAATACAGTTGCGTCTAAAAGAAAAAAAGGTGAAAAATCTATCTTAGATGTCAAACATGTTTTAAAATATTTTTCGTTTCATTCATAATTTCATTAAGATTTTCTATGATTAGTGTAGTTATTTTTATTTATTTATTTAATTTTTTTGTATTTCTATTACCTCATTAAAAATATAATTTACTCGTTATAAACTTCTAAATTTTAATTTGTGCTTCTTTGTCGAAGCTCTGATTTTAGTAAAACCAACACCAAAATTAATGTATTAGTTTCAATAATGTTTCCTTCAATTTAATTTGTGACTGGAGATCGATTTCTTTAACCTATTCTTTAAAATTGATCTTTTAAAACTAATTTTCATATTTATTTTATTTTATTTAATCATAAATTGTTGAGTAGAGCCAAATGAAAAATAATGAGTTAATCAAATAGAAGATTCTCGATTTTTATTAAACTAGAGTGTAAAAGCATCAAAATTAGAGGTGTTCACGGTGCAGATTGAATCGGTTATGTGATAAAAATTCATCGGATCAAAGATAAAAATCAATTTAATTAAATTCATCTAATTAAATTTATTAATCTTTAATTGTACTACATTAACCATATACTTAAATTACCATTCAGTTTGATATCAAATTTTATGAAAATTATTCTTTCTCAAACAAAAATAATAAGTGAGAAGAATCTGCATCTTGTTTCAATAGTAGTAAAAAATTGTATCAACGTTATCAGTGGTAGTAAAATATGGTTAGATGCTTTATTTATGAAAAAGTGTTTATTCTTGCAAGGGATTGTGTTTGATGAAAGAGAGTTAGTTGTTAAGATCACAAATCTGTCACAATACTAGAAAATAGTAGTACCAAGACTTAGAGGTAAAAAATGCACTATCTATGGTTTCTTTAGATCTGCAGTATGTAACATGTTTGATGTATATAACAGTGTTAATTAAAATAAGTACTTACATAATGTTTTTTAACTCTAGATATAGAATAATTATATGTTAAACACTACATTTTACATTTTAAATCTAGATTTAGATTTAGGATCATTATTATTTCAAGTAAAATATTTTTATTTAATATAAATTAAAAATAATATTTAATATTAATTCCACAATACATACGTAGTGTTGATTATAATATAATTTATTTGAATTAGTTGATAGGTGGTGCACAATTTTCTAAAAAAAAATGTATATGTTCATCAAAATCAAACAAATTCCACCACCCAGGCTAAGTGCCACGTATACTAGTCTTTTCATTTTAACTAGCCACTTCAATTTTGTTTATTTCAACACTAGTCAACATGCATGCTACACTATGGCCAAATGTTGGTGTATGTTAATCTTATGGATTTCATTTATTTAGTTATAAATACCTTTTGTTATAGTGTATTCAATCATCTCATCATCCATAGTAAGTAAAGTGACACATTGGTTCAAATCAATATGGCTGCTACTATTATAAAACTCTTCATGCTTTTGGGAGTTGCTTTATTGGCCTCAGTTTGTGTTTCTTCTACATCCGATCATGAGAACCCTTTTATCTTTAAGTCTAATAGGTTTCAAAGTCTTTATGAGAATGAGAACGGTCGCATTCGTCTCCTCCAAAGGTTCGATAAACGTTCCAAAATATTTGAGAATCTTCAAAACTACCGTATTTTAGAATATAAGTTCAAACCTCGCACTCTTTTACTTCCACAATACAACGAAGCTGACTTCATTCTTGTAGTCCTTAATGGTAATGTGTTACTTATCAATTATAGGTTATAAATTGATCATCTATAATTTTTTTATAAATAAAGATATTTCTTACTTTACAAATTTGTTTTTTTGAAGATAAATTAAGTTGAAAATAAAAATCTAATCTTAATTTCCATATGCAGGAAAAGCCATTCTCACAGTGTTGAACTCCAATGATCGAAACTCCTTTAATCTTGAAGTTGGTGACACCATCAAACTCCCAGCTGGCACCATTGCTTATTTAGCTAACCGAGATGACAACGAGGATCTTAGAGTATTAGATCTCGCCATCCCAGTAAATAGACCCGGTCAATTACAGGTAATAAATTCAGAGTTTACATTTCTCATATTATACATTGTCTGCATGCAACCCCATAAAACAATTTTAGAGGGATCTACAATAGAATCACAACAACAATTGCGTCTCCATTTTCTAACATTATATTGTAAATTTTTTCTACTCTTACCATTGTTTATTTGTAATTTTTCCCAGTCTTTCTTATTATCTGGAACTCAAAATCAACCGTCTTTCTTATCTGGGTTCAGCAAAAATATTCTAGAGGCTTCTTTCAATGTAAGCATGCAGCAAACAACCTTTATTTATTTTTCATGTTCTAGTTTGGTTTAATTCATGTAAATATTCACTTTGTCCTTTTATATATCGTTGAAATGAAAGACAAACTATGAGGAGATAGAAGAGGTTCTTTTAGAAGAGCAGGAACAAGATCCACAACACCGAAGAATCCTTACGGATAGGAGACAAGAGATCAACAAAGAAGATGTAATAGTCAAAGTATCAAAGGAACAAATTGAGGAACTGGGAAGAAATGCAAAGACGAGCTCCAAAAAAAGTGTATCATCGAAATCTGAACCATTTAACTTGAGAAGTCGCAGTCCTATCTATTCCAACAAGTTTGGAAAATTCTTTGAGATCACTCCTGAGAAAAATCCACAACTTCAAGACTTGAACATATTTGTCAATTCTGTGGAGATTAAGGAGGTATAGAAAAATTATTTTATAACATATGCAAATAAACTACACAATAAATTATATATTATTATTACTTAAAAAGATATTTATAATCATTTTAAAATTATTTTTGGGGGATTTGACTTTTGTTTGTATAAATTATAAGATCAAACTCATATCATTAAGTTGACATCTATTTGAAAACAAACTTGTATAGTTAATATCATGTTTTATTTAGATAACAGAGATCAATAGCTAAATATTTTTATTCAAATTTAATTTTAGGGATCATTATTGTTGCCGAACTACAATTCAAGGGCCATTGTGATAGTAACGGTTAATGAAGGAAAAGGAGATATTGAACTTGTGGGTCAAAGAAATGAGAACCAGAAAGAGAAGAGAGAAGAAAATGACAAGGAAGAGGAACAAAAAGAAGAAGAGATAAGCAAACAAGTTCAAAGGTATAGAGCTAGATTGTCTCCCGGTGATGTTTTTGTGATTCCAGCAGGTCATCCATATGCCATAAATGCCTCCTCGGAACTCAATCTGATTGGATTTGGTATCAATGCCGAGAACAATCAGAAAAACTTTCTTGCAGGTATATTATATTCTTATTTAATCTCTTTGTAAATAAAATTATAATTATGTTCTTAGATTTAATCACATTTTTCATTTTATTTAATTTGTTTTTTTATTAATTTATATGTATCATAATTGAAAAGATAATGATATAGTTGATTAAAAAGGGAATTAATATAATATTGAAATTTCTAAAAGAGAAATGACTTAAAATATTTTCCTAAAAAGTGATAATTTAGGAGAAATATAGTAAAGCAAAACTAAAATTAAATTAAATTTGATGTAGAATATATTAATCTATTTTATTTTTTTATGTGTATGCTAATATGTTTCTTCTACTTGAATACATGAGGAAATAAACTAATTAAAACATTAACTTTTGGGGTGATTACAAATTTGAAGGTGAGGAGGACAATGTCATAAGCCAAATACAAAGACCGGTGAAAGAAATTGTATTTCCTGGATCTTCAAAAGAGATTGACAGGCTCCTAAAGAATCAAAAAGAGTCTTACTTTGCAAATGCTCAACCTCTACAAAGAGAGTAAAGAAACCATCAAATCAAATAAGGGACCATCCATCTTCAATTTTGGATGCTTTTAATAAATGAGAAAATATTATGCATGTATGCTGTAAAGAGCTATAGCTCACAGTGAGTAAAGAATGAAATATCATTCTCTTGTAACTATAACTAGAGCTCCACTTTTCTACTATAAATAAATAAGTCAAGAATAAATTTTGTACCTCCTCTCAACTAATATGCATTTCTTAGATAATGCTACTCTATGCTACTATAGTTAACTTAATCAAATAAAAATGATGGATCACATGTTTAAATTATACATGTTTTTCATAATTAATTTCATCATGTAATTAAAAATGACGGCTTATGAGTGTTTTGAAAACACTCATAAATATTTAATATACTTTCATTATGTAAATTAATTTATTAATTTTATAAAACTCTCTCATTATTAAATATAATTTATTTTTAGAAGATTCCTACGTAAATCTCAATCTACAGTAATAATTTAAAGATAAATCTATAAAAATAATCAATCATGTTACACATAAAAAACAATATATTTATCTCTTTATTAAAACAGAATCAAAATCAATTTGATGAACACATAATTATTTTGTAAACCATTAAATTAAATATGTTCCACATCATCAAAATCTGACGTGTCATGCTTTACTATTTTTTCCTTATTTATTCTAATGTCCACTTTTCTTTTATTCCATAGATTAATCTACTTCTATTCATTTTATTTGACATCTCAATGCAAATGTTTTTACAGTTATGTTAACAAATAAAGTTCAATTATTACATATTACTAAATTATCTTCTTAAATTAATATGAATGCATAAAAGTGTTTGTTAATACTAATTTATTCTCCTTTACCTTTATTAAACTCTTTATGCCCTATATTTTCTTGTGTAATTATTTATAAAACTAGCTTCTCCCTTTGCTTCTGTTTTAAATTTATATTTTTGTATGTGACTAAAATTTCTTAGTTTCAAAAACTTTTTATTTATCAATCAAATTATTTACTTTTTATTAGGACATAAATGAAATATAATTTTGCAGAATGTGAATTTAATAGGATTAAACTTATTATTTAATTTTTAACCGACTAAATTCATGAGTTTATAATAATGAATTTATCTTCTCCTTGCTACTTAATTAATTATGGCATTAAATCCTTCCAAGTCTAGCATTAAGTAATTTCATCTCTCTCAATAAACGTTAAACTAACTTATATTTGACACCAGTAAATGATTGATTATAGATAATACATTGTTAATAATATATAAATCTTAAATTCAATTATCATTCATTAAAACAAATTTAAACAACTTCACACGGTAAGTAAAAATTCTCTAAAATGTTACTCTTTTTTTTAGACAATTTATATATAAATTGTTAACTTAATTAGTGAAAAAGCCAATATTTAAGCTTTTCTATTATTAGTGTTAGATGACATATATTTAATTTGTTAAAAATTGATTTGAAAAATTCTAACTTAAACATATAAAAGTGTAATAAACAATATTAAAATGGGTAACGCAAACATATTAGGTTTTTTTTTTATAAATATTTTTGCAAAAACAACATCCAAAATATACATATCTAAAATGTATGAAATTTACAAATAATTACTTATTTACATCATAAAAAAAATACTCAAACCAAAATAATCACTTATTATCATTATCAACATTGACTTAAATTTTAGTTATAAGAACATTATTTGAATTTGGCTTATTACAAATATACTTTAAATATGATAGAATTAAAATATAACACACTCTCAATTAATAAAAAAATAACAATATAAAAATAGACATTAAACATAAATTAAAGTTATATCTAACGATAATATATTTAGAATTTTTCTAACTAACTAAAAATCACAATATACAAAATAGAAATTAAACATAAATAAAAAATTTATACTGAATAATGGTACATTCTGGATTTTAAAAAATGAAAATGATTGTATAAAAAAAATTCAATTTTTTTTTAAACTACATACATGCATAGCGCGAGTGATATTCTAGTTAATAAATAATTTTGACTACTGTTCAGTTTTTTTTACATTGTCTTTATAACACACAGTATCTATTGTCTTTTACAACTACAATCCCTCATAAAAAAAAGGTAGAACGAAAAATACATGTGAAAAATTTGCAAGATTATACCAATGCATCCCGACCATTGATTTGTTCAAGTGATCAGTCCAATAAGTTCAATTAAAAAAATAAATTGACGCTCACCACAGATTAGTAACAATAAAACTTACAAAGTTTATATTATTGATATGTTTTTACTTAAAATGTTTGATAATATTGAATTCCTTTTACACCATGAGAGATATGTTGTCTAGTATGTTAAATTTAATGCACATAAATATGTTTGATGATCTAGACTATTGTACTTAAGTTGGACATGGGGTGTTGAAATTTTTACATGGTACATGGTGTGTCATCTCAAGTTATATATATATATATATATATATATATATATATATATATATATATATATATATATATATATATATATATATATATATATATATATATATATATATATATATATATAACTATCATTTTTAGATAATTTTGTATGCTTGTGAGTAGTGCTATTCGTTGTGGTATTTTTGTTTGTATTTGATTGATGATAAGTGTATTCATATTTATATTTACTTATTTCTTACTATTAACTTAATCAAAATATATTTCATAAAAGCTTCTTCTATGAATAAATTATCATGATATGAATTTTCTTCATATTTATTATAATTTGGTGGTTAATTGAAAAATTTATTTTATTTACTTTTTTTTATTCTTATATAATAATAATAATAATTATTATTATTATTATTATTATTATTATTATTATTATTATTATAGTAATAATAATAATAATAATAGTATTTTAATGTGAGTAGTTTGAAGAACAATATTTTATATATAAAATATATATATAAAACAAATGAATATATGCATTAGTGATTTGATTTAGAGTTTAAAAAAATTAGTCAATTTAAAAGTGTTTATTTGAATTTGGCCTAAAATAACACAAACAAAAAAATTAAACAAACCCTAAAAAGATAATAACAATAAAGTTGTGGCTACAAGAAAAAAGGTGAAAAATCTATCTTAGATGTCAAACATGTTTTAAAATATTTTGTGTTTCATCCATAATTTCATTAAGATTTTCAATTATTACTGTAGTTATATTATGACCATAAATTTAGTACGCGCGCTTATAGTTGTTATCATATTCTCTCGCTCATATCTGCTCGATCTCAAACAATCTGAATCACGCATCCCCACAATATTATCATATGTTGTTCGCAAGGCTACCTAAACGACTCCTCCTAAAAAACAATGTTTTTGGGTCAGGCCCAATTATTATTCACCTCCCCTCTTTTTATTTTTGCTAATCAGTGAATAACATACCCCCCCCCCCCCCCCCCCCCCCGGCCAAATGGGACAAGTGCAATATTTGGACTCGGACGTTTGACTTATATGTTCAAACTTGCACCCTTTTACGCTGCAAGGGCCAAATTCAATATCTGAATTTTGGCCCATGCTGCTAACACACCCCCCCTATTTTACTACCTTAACAATATTTTCAACCCCATGTTTTTTTATTTTCTTATTATTTTAATATATATATATATATATATATAT